CACAGGTGCAATGAGCCTGGAGGATGGAGAGACGATTACGGCTCCCATCATGTTGGTGGCTGGCCACACCCTTACTCAATAAAGGCTTATGGAATAAAATTATTTGAGTAACTGATTCGGCATGCGCGCACACATGCACGTCCATCAACTTAGCAGGATGTTGGTGTACTGCCAGTACCTTTTGCTGCCACGTCGTAGTCATATTCTCCCTATCGGGAGCATTGGCTTAATTTCATGCCAAAACTGACAAGACCCAACCTCAGCCCAATGAACAGAACGTCGGCCCTGATTCCCCGAGAAAGAGTGACGAACAACCACACTCAAGCTTCTTGCAAGCCTGACCCCTACGCCCCCAAGTCAAGATCTCCAACTGATCTAACCACGATCAACGCCCCATAGCCGTTTTTCAAGTACATATGCTAGCTGTAGTTTGCAAAATCGTCCCAGATAACCCTCTCAAACTCGGAGAAACACCCCTCTTCCCTCAACTTACACGCACTTAACACAAACCTCGACCAAGGTCAGTAACACAGCTTCTGCTATCCTCTGATAATCGATGCACAGATAAAGAATAAAGAAGCCATGATGCACTGACCTCCACTACTAACCCCCATGTACCGCATTCTAAATGAACCTCAAACATAATTAATGTTCATACAGTGCAAGACTAATATCATTATCTTTGCAAGTCAAAGATATAAATAAATGATTTGGAAAATAAGTACGTGTTCCAAAATGAAACGTGGAAACGCTTCAAGGATCTAGAGCGGTGGTGAATTCACTTTCCCCCACAGTGTTGTCCATTGTGCCGATACTCCAATCACCATGGCCACTAGGGGCGACATTGGGACGAGCTGATGTAGGTGTTGGAGTATCCGAGGTCGCGGCAGTAAGCGTAGTGGAGGGTGAGTCAGTAGGAGCGGCAGAAGCCGGTGTCTGATCTGCGACAAATATAAGTTCCTCAGGTCGAGGGGGTTGAGGAGGAAAGACACCGTCCCAATGCTGTTCCAACGACACCAAGAACGCAGAAACGGCAGTTGGAGTTTCACCCTCCTGTGAAACGCTCTCAGATGGTGTTCCACTGTGCCGTACTAACGAGAATGCTTCGTGGAATATGGATGCCGCCTTTATAGCGCGAAAAAAAAAAAGCAACAACTGAGGTATAGACTTTGTCTGGACTAATGCAATTGCATGTTTCCTCAAAACTCCGTACTTGTACATCTCTCTGGCTTAAATATTCAAGACTAGAATGCTGTTGAGTAAAAGCACGACAAATTAGTAAAGGACGTTGACCCAATTATAAAGGCGTCTCGGTACCCGTGGACATTAATCACTAACCTAGTGATGCCAGTCCCTTCATGTCAATTCTGTCAGCAACCCGAAAGCCCATGTGCACACGTTCGCGTAAAGCTTTTAATGAGACTAATCTACTTCTAGAAAGCTTCAGAGGCGGATCGAGAGCTGAGGAACTAAAACAGGATGATGAATAATTTAGCCTACCTCAGAAACAGCTTTGTCCATGAACATGGAAGCATCAAGACCGGGAACAACAAAAATCCCCTCCTCACCAAGTTCGTAGTCGCGTCCAAGAGTTCGACAGGCTACGTTGGAGAGATCAGGTAGAGTAAAGAAGCAATTCCACAGAATACGAGGTTTTTCAGGAGCTTCCGTATCTACCAGGAGGGAATGACAAAGAATGAAAAATTAATTGTGCAATTTGGGTTGCTCAATCACTTGCTTACCAGTGGAGTAGAGGAGGTTGATTGAAGGTGCGAAAATCTCCGCCGCGTCCACGCAGTTGTCGCAGAAGGCGGAGAGGTGAACTACGACTGAAGAATAGGAGACAAAGCCGATGAGCACACTCCATGCGCCCTGTTCACAGGTTTCCAGGGCTGTTGCGTGCTTACAATAATGCTACTTATCAGACCCCAGTTCACAGCTGGGGCTTTCGCTTTCAAACAACTCTTTGTTACAGAAGTCGGTGATATAAAGAAGTTACGTGATCAGAACTTCATCTGACCTTACGCATTCGTAAAAATATGCTAGTGTTGAAGTTGACCTTTATAGGGGAGAAGCGGGCAGCGAATTCGAACGCAAATCCTGTGCGTGAGGATCGTGAGGAATCCCTCCCCGAGTGATATCTGCTATTCGGTTCATCTATACTCCTATCCCCGTTCTTCCTGTATTCAATGTCTAATAGATACACTGCAACTAACCCCCTCTTGAAGTCCCTGTTTCGAGGGCATGAGGGTAGGCGGGCAGTTCCTACAGCAAAAACAAACTCATCTGCTAATACGACTATCTTATTAATTAACGCCTACATAATTCATTTATGTCATTAAAACCCAGTGTCATAGCGCTGTTTAGCCTTCATTCCTATTACTTAACTGGATTTCATTATAAGTAGCATGCGATATACAGATCTAAAGAAAGTTAGGAGCACTAGGTGCTATAACCTCATCGACATTAACTATTTGCAACACAGACAATAAAACTCACATAGCTCCACATTTCCGTTGGATTTTTCCACGGGGATCTCTAGAAGGAAACCTGGTTCAGCAGAGATCGCTGTTGGGAGCAGTATCGGCATCAATGTGACCTTGACGAGAGAAATAAAATGTGAATACACATGAAAGCAGATCGTTCAACTGGTAGAGTAGCTTACATCATGAGGCTCATGGCCGGATGGGTAGAGGGAGCCCACTGTCACCAAAATCGACCGTGCGATCCATCGACTAATTTGTGGTATCAGCCAATCACTAGGCGCCTGCTCTGCACCAATAAGAAGGCAGGAAGTGGACACCACTTCACCGGTAGAAAGGCTGAGACGGTAGCGTCGACCATGGTTATTCAAATTGTGTCTAACTGAAGTGATGGTTCTGCCCAAACAATAAGTGCCCGAGAACACCGCGCACATTCTACAAAGTAAAGTTGGCTGGAGACAAGCGGCTAACCTGCAGAATGACTGAGGTAATTCTCCACAGCCGAAGAGGGGCCAGAGAAGAGGGAAGGAGCCTACACGATTCGTTGAGGCAATTAGACGCGCAAAACGGGGAAGGGCCTGAATTAAAAGAGGCGTGTATGCTCTCATGCATCAGTAAATCATACCAAACGTGTTCAACGATAGCACGCTAAGGAAAACTAACATTTCGCAGAGTTATCGTATTGTTGGCGAGCGCAAGACAGTTCACCACAACGCGAGAAATGAAGTCGTCCAAGTGGCGTTTACTTTGAAGGTACTCCAATAGTGGACGATCAAGGTAAGCTAAAAAATTAGATTTATTGAAGGAAGCAGTGAATTGATTTAAAATTCAAATTGTGATCCAAACCTTGTAGAAGGGTGCAACGTGGAATGTTTAAAAGTCCCCATCCTCCACCTACCCCCAAATACGACAAAGAGGTCTGGCAGCCTATGGCAAAAATGACCGCGTCTAGATTGGACACAGTTTCGATTGCCTTTACGGCATAAAAGAGGTCTGTTACACTGACACTAGAATCTGCTCCAAAGGTGAAAGTTTTCCAATTCCATACCGAATACAAGCAATCAAGCATTGTCAACGTGCAGCTGTAACTCTTCAATATACTAGCTTCCATAATTTGGCTAACAATCAAGCACGCTTATGTTGATGAAACAGAAGCGTAGCACAGCAAAGAGAGGAAGATATTACCACAGACGCGAGAAGACGTATATAATCCTGTGGATGATTTCAAAGAAAATAAAACAGCAAGAGCCGGGAGTGCTATTATGACCTAAGATAAAGAAGTGGAACCGCCCACGCCCTGATACAAACAAATAGAGCATGACTGTTCGAAGAGCTGATGGAAATCCATAAAAATAAGGACCACTTTTGTGAAACTGGCTTACCGTTGCACCTTCTAGGTTATATCTCACTAAAAGTGAAATGGATCGCTCTGTAGACCCAAATGAAATAGGAGAGAGTGGAAGGAGAGGAAGGAATATCCAGACTACTG